TGGGATCCACCCAAGGGTACTCAGGTAGCTGGCAGAACAGTTCACCAAGCCACTTTCCACTGTTTGCCAGCAGTCCTAGCTAACTGCTGGGTCTCAGTGGAATGGAGACTTGCCAATGTGGCACCCATCTACAAGAAGGGCCAGGAGGAGGATCTGGGGAGCTATAGGCTTGTCAGCCTGACCTCGGTACTGGGGAAGATTATGGAGCAGTTCATCTCGAGTGAGCTCACACGGCAGGTGCAAGACAACCAGGCCCAGCCAGCATGGGTTCATGAAGGGCAGGTCCTGCTTGACCACCCTGATCTCCTTCTATGAGCAGGTGACCCACCTGGTGGGTGAGGGGAAGGCTGTGGGTGTTGTCTACCTGGGCTGTAGTAAAGCCTTTGACACGAGCCTTCCTAGAGAAGCTGACAGCTCGTGGCTTAGACAGATGGACTCTTGGCTGGGTTAAAAAGCTTTTTTTCTCCCAAGGGACAAGTGATAAGAGGAAACGGCCTCAAGTTGCACCAGGGAAGGTTTAGATTGGATATTAGGGAAAATTTCTTCACTGAAAGGGTTGTCAGGCATTGGAAGGGGTTGCTCAGGTAGGTGGTTGAGTCACTATCCCTGGAGGTATTCAGGAGATGTGGACAAGGTGCTTAGGGACACGGTTTAGTGGTGGACTTAGCAGTGTTAGGTTATCATTGGACTTGATGATCTTAAAGGTCTTTTCCAACCTAATTGATTCTATACTTTATACTGGGCTTCATTGTCTGTGGCTGTCTTTGTTAGCCACATTGGAGGGTCACACAACTTGTTTTGCACTAGTCTGTAGGGTTCGTGGCAGCAGAGGCTGTCATTCAAGAGGGTGGGCTTCAGTGAGGTCTAGGTACATGCAGGCATTTCCCTTTGCATGTCTGGGAAGAGAGAGCTAAGAAACAATTGTAGAAGACACCAGGAAGACTTGAAAGTGACAAGCAAAAACCTGGATCCTGTAGACCAGGAGGGACTGTTGAACTATTTTTTTCACCCAAATGTTTAATGTATTTCCTTCTGGGTAGGATGAAGAAGAGTCGCTGAATGAAGTGGGCTATGATGATATTGGTGGCTGCCGGAAGCAGCTGGCTCAAATCAAAGAGATGGTGGAACTTCCCCTCCGACACCCTGCACTCTTCAAGGCCATAGGGGTGAAGGTGAGTCCCTGTGTGCAACAGGTGAATAAGTGGGCTTTTGTTTGAGGATGACTCTTGATGTCGGAGGTTTATGAGATATTGGAAGGGGAGTAAGTAATTTGGGTGGGGTTTTTTTAATGCTGGTGTTAGGAAAGGATTTATTTACATGTTTTGGACACAGATTTGGATGCTGGCAACTTGCAAAACATAGGGATGCTTTGAATCAGCACTCTCAGTTACTGGCAAAGTGTTTGTGTGTGTGTCATGCAAAATAGTGTTGATAGTAGTGCTGGGATGGCAGCTGTTGTATAAGTTTGCATTACAATTTCGGACTGGCTTTATTAAATGCTTACAGCTTCACTGTGAAGCTACTTAGACATTCAGATACTTGCTTGTCACCTAAGTCCCTTTGCCTTTGTCATCAGCCTCCACGTGGGATCCTGCTGTACGGTCCTCCTGGCACTGGTAAAACACTGATTGCCCGAGCAGTGGCCAACGAAACAGGGGCTTTCTTCTTCCTGATCAATGGTAAGTCTTGTGGCTGCTTTGGCCCCAGTTCTGCTGCATGCTCATTCATCCATGATAATGAATGGTATTAATAGGGCTCATAGAGCCATGTTTGTCTCCTTGACATCCTTCCTTACCTCTTTGAAGTGTGCCTCTGATGACACTTAGAGGCCATTTGTGTGGAAGCATCTGTAGTGGCGCTTCCCTTAAGCTTGATAGTTTTGTAGCAGGCTGGTTGGAAAGACAGCTTTGCGATGCAGGGACTTGGAGTCTGTCTGGTTGAATGTTCATTGATGTTGGTCAGCAGAGCTGGGAGTGATGAGATTATTCTATGTATATGGCTGCAGGACACTTGTTTCTATTGCTGCTAGCATGTTCCATTTAGAAAAGAAGTTGCTCTGCTATGGATTTCTCTTTCCACTCCTGTAAATCATAAGACCTGTTCAGTTTCATATAACGTTAATTGGGAGAAACTGTCCCAAAAGCTATGAGTACCTTGGGACTTGACTACAAGTGTAAGAACCTCCTACTGATCACTCTTCACCTATAGCAGTTGAGATGGATACTGGTTTATGTCCAGTAAGGTCCATGTTTCTGAATTTTCCTCTGTCTTTCTGTCCCATTTTACAGTCAGTGCTGGAATAACTGAACATTTGTACTTAAGGAGTGCTGCTTTTCTTTTCTGATTTGAATCACTTAGACCCATGAAGGTGAAAGCAAAGAAGCACAGCATAGCAGTGAGCAGCAGTGGGAAAGTGACTTGCTTTGTATCTTAAGATATCATATGTAAATTGACTGGTTTTAACCATATGTTGCCCTTGTCATACTTCCTAAGTGTATGGAAGCTGTCACTGCATGCTAACGGGCCAGATGTTTCTTTAGACACTTGTACTTCTATTGCATAATAAAAATAACATTGTCAGAATTAGTGATGCGTTCTCTGTCTGCTAGTCCTAAGCATGGAGCTGCAGGCAGTGTTGTAGATGGAGCTGGTATGAATTGGTGAATTACTTGTAATGAAACACTCTTAATACTTGCCTGCACCAGTGGTTCTGCAGCTGGTACACTTCAGTCAGCTAGAAGCTTTGCACTCCTGAGGGTCAGGTTTCTTTTACTTGGATCTCTTAAAAACATAATTTTCATTACCACTCCCCATCAGTATGATGCAAAAATCTGTAAAAACAGAATAAATCTGTGAGCCTGCACTACTGTTTAGCAGTTGTAGGAGATCTCAGAGGAATGCTGTCCTTCCTTCTGGTATTTATGTGCTTACACACATGGGAGAAGGGAATTGGGTTTCTGGAATTTTGGAGTGTTGTGTTTTTGGTGTGGTGGTTTTTGTTTTGGTTTACTTCTTTGGTTGTTTGCCTTTTTTTTTGTGGGTTTTTTTTTGGGTTTTTTTTTACTCATTTATAGGATCTTAGAGGTAAATGTATACCTGTGTAATGCAAGCTAAAGACAGTTTCAATATATTACAGCTTTTTCCTTCCCTACCCTGATAATTCATCACCATATAATTTGATTGCTTCTCTTGCAAGCTAGGACTGGCATTAACTGTATGTGATAGCACATTACAGAGAAGCTCACCAAGTGTGAAATAGGGTAAGGAAAGAAGCAGCTAAAGGTAGCTCATTGACTAGTGCTGCATTCTGTTAGAGTAAACTGAAAACACCAGAATAATGATAGAAAGTAATTTTGCATGCTGTTCTTGCCTATTCAGCTGCAAATTTAGTGAACTTGGTTGATAGTATTTGCTTTGGTTTGAAATAGAGATACTCCCATGTGAATGTTGTACTGAAAATCAGCAGCATGCCTTGCAGCTACTGCCTCTCTTCTGAGTGCCATAGTGCCATTATTTTTTCAGGTCCTGAGATCATGAGCAAGCTGGCTGGTGAGTCTGAGAGCAACCTGAGGAAAGCTTTTGAAGAAGCAGAGAAGAACGCTCCTGCCATCATCTTCATTGATGAACTGGATGCCATTGCTCCTAAGAGAGAGAAGGTAAAGAAAGCCTGTAGAAGGTAAAGGAGTACATATTTTTTTTTGGTAGCAACTGGTGTGAATCTCTGCATTTGACTACAGGACTGTCGTGGTTTAACTCCGGCTAGCAAAATACCACGACCCTGGGATTAAGAGTCCCATGCTCTACCGACTGAGCTAGCCGGGCACAAGGGTAAAGCAGTATTTAACTTCACACTTGAATTGAGTTGGATATCAAAAGAATCCAGTATAGTTTACAATGTTTCTTAACAGCTCTTGTCTGTTGTATCTGTCTGCTCTAGTGCAGTACTAGTTTTAGAGCTTTTGGTCAATCATTACTTTCTCTCTCCATAGACACATGGAGAGGTGGAACGTCGCATAGTGTCTCAGCTGTTGACTCTGATGGATGGACTGAAACAGAGGGCACATGTAATCGTTATGGCAGCTACCAACAGACCTAACAGCATTGACCCAGCACTCAGGCGATTTGGTAACCATGATTGCTTTTTTTGTGTGTGTGTGTGTGTATTAGATACTTTGTTATGGGCTGTGCTTCAGGGACTTTGGAAAGATTGAGCAGAAATTAATATTAAACATCATCTGTGTGTTCCATAAACTATTGATTGTCTTCAGCTACTTGTTTGAAATTCATTTATAGGCTTCCAGCTTTTGGTATCATTTTATGTGCTTTATTAGCTTAGAACTTGTGGAAATAACTAAATACTTAGAGGGTAGCTTTTTCACTTGCTCAATGAGATGGGGCTATTTCAGGACTGAATGCTTAAGGGGTTGTTCATGCCTCAGGTTGCAGAAGGCTCTGAATGATCCAATATCACTTACTTTTATTGGTGAAAAGTCTGGTAGTTTCTGAGTTTCAGGTTTTTGAAACTTTGCAGTGTGAATGAATGTTGGTTGTATAACCAGTTAGTAAAGTCTATAACAGCAAACTAGTCAATTTTGTAGGAAAAAAATGGCCTCTTAAATGTGTAGTGAGGCATTTGAACCACAGCTATGACTAGAGGAAAGTGATAGGTGTACATACCTTAGTTAATATTGCAGTAATACGTAGGTTTCCTGCCTCCCCAGATATTGGGGCAGTTCATAGTTTTTCACCACTTGGGTACTGCTATGAAAGTTCTGAAAAATTAAATCTCTTGGTATTTGTGGACTCCTGTGCTGAGGACACAAAGGTAGGAATAAACAAAAATGTCTCGTAGTGTGTTGGTTAGAGGAAGCATACTTTTCTATAAATGAGACTCGGGCGGGGGGGGGAAACCAACCATAAAACATCCTCTGCGTTTATATAATCTTGAACTCTAGTTAATACAGTAGTCTCACTTTCCCTAAATGTCTAAAGCCTTTCCTCCTTCTCTGATCTGACTCTGCTACTGTGCTTACAGATGCTGCAGAGAATCCCAAAGTTCTGGCATTTTCTGAAATTGTATGTGTTTGTGGCCCATCATCATGTTCCTTTGTCAGAGGAAGGCAGCAACTGCAGCTCCTTTAGTTTGCAGAATCAGCACCTCAACATATGTTTTGTATTCCCCAGGTCGTTTTGACAGAGAGGTGGATATTGGTATACCAGATGCCACTGGGCGCCTGGAGATCCTGCAGATCCACACGAAAAATATGAAACTGGCTGATGATGTGGATCTGGAACAGGTGAGTAGCATGCTATTAGGAAAGCTTGTCTCTACTTGTTTAGGACAGCATAAAACTGGGCAAATGTGTGATCTCTGGGCTTCCTTCTAACTAGTTTACCAGTGACCAAAAATTCCTCACTTGCTTGTGAGAAATTGCATGGCTAAGTGAAACAAACATGTACCAGTCTAGTCTGGAAGTGCCTTGCCACTGTCGTCCTGGTTTTTTTTTGCTGTGGCATTGTCTTTAAAAATAAAGCAAGCCTGAAACTGTGCTCACAGAGCTGGGTGAACGTTGTGGTGATACTGGGTGGTTACTGTAATCTCTGTCCTGAATTAAGAACTGCAGTCCTCAGGGTTATCTTTCTGCACACTATCTGAATTCCAGTTGCAGCTTTGATCTCAAGTAGGAGGTGGAACAGCAGTGTCTTTACCTGTTAAAAATATGTGGTAGCACTTGTCTTAAATTTTCAGCAGAGTAAGATGTTCCTGTCCTCCAGAATTTTGTTGCAGCTCCCAGAGCATGCATTGCCCTTGCAGAGGGCTTGCTTGTATCCCTGTGGGTCATAGTCAGTGTTTTGCTTTCAGGTGGCAAACGAGACCCATGGCCACGTTGGTGCTGACTTGGCTGCTCTTTGCTCAGAAGCTGCTCTTCAGGCTATCAGAAAGAAGATGGATCTCATAGACCTAGAAGATGAAACCATCGATGCTGAAGTGATGAACTCGCTGGCTGTGACCATGGATGACTTCAGGGTAATACAGGAGTGCCCCTCTTTCTTTTGGGTGCAATGTCAAATTGCTTATCTGAAGTGTGTGAACATAACGTGTTAGAATTCATGTAATGCTGTTCTAACTATAGTGGGCTCTGAGCCAGAGCAACCCTTCTGCTCTTCGTGAGACTGTGGTGGAGGTGCCACAAGTTACCTGGGAAGATATTGGTGGTCTAGAAGATGTAAAGAGAGAACTCCAGGAGCTTGTACAGGTAAGAGTTTACAACAGACTTTTGTCTGGTCAGTGTGAAAAATAATTATAATAAAATTCAGAACCTTGTCACATTCCTGTTTGGGCTTTGAACAGGGTAAATACAGAGTTTATATGGTATTTTCTTATAATGGACTGAAAATACCATGCTTTTCCTTCTTAGTGAACTTAGGGAGAGGAAGGTTCTGGGAAGCAGCATCAGGCTTTCCTTAGCTGAGTCTATAGTGACATCTTGAGTGGGTGTTTTGCTACATGCAGAAACAGCAGCAGTTCTGTTTCTCTCAAGTGCAGACCAGCAGTGGGACTGCTGCTGAGAATACTGTTACATGGTGGCTTTATATACCAGAAAGTGGATGAAGATTCTCATACAGAGAGCCTCTGAAGGGCTTTCCATTAGTATTAGCATAGGGACAGGTGAGAAGTAATTGTTCCAGCTTCTCCTTTCATAGAAGGTTTCACAAAGTCATGAATCGTCTGTGGAAGCTTCTGGTGCCTGCCAGTGTTGGGGTGGTTTGGGTTTGATACATCCCTGCTCTCAGTTGGCACTGTAGAAACAGCCTGTCTATGAATAAAAGAATATAATTTCAATCTAATTTTCTGGTGTTAAAATAATTGCCTATCTCTGACCTTGTTGCAGAGGATAAATGCTCACATCTGACATCTTGCATGTCTCTGGAGGGCAGAGCAGACAGGTTAGATAATGAGCTGTTCCATTGCTTCTGCAGGGCAGAGTGAAGCTGGGTTTGTGTGCTGGAAAACTACCTGAACTGGTACTTAGTTCATAGGTGGAAATAGACTGTTTAAAGCAGCTTTACAATTTAGCTGTGGTGTTTTTCAAAACAGTGCCCATTTTAAAAAAAAAAAAATCCAGTGGCACCAAGCAGGCAGAATCTTGTGTTTAACCCACCAGAAATCTCAGCAGAAACAAAACTGATCTAGTGAAAGATGTCCCTGTCTGTGGCAAGTAGGTTGGACTAGATGATCTTTGAAGGTCCTTTCTAACTCAAACCATTCTGTGATTCTAAGGTAAAGACCTGTTCTGGCTCATCACGAGAGATGTGTGTGTGTTTTGTTCTCTTTAAGTATCCTGTGGAGCACCCAGACAAGTTCCTCAAATTTGGCATGACCCCATCGAAAGGGGTTCTGTTCTATGGGCCACCCGGTTGTGGTAAGACACTGCTGGCCAAAGCCATTGCCAATGAATGCCAGGCAAACTTCATTTCCATCAAGGGGCCGGAATTGCTCACCATGTGGTTTGGTGAGTCTGAAGCTAATGTGCGCGAGATCTTTGACAAGGTAAGAGTATCTTATACTCCTTGTACTATGTTTTTGCTGTGATATCCCCAAAACATTGTCTGCACTGCACCTGTCTTTCTGATCTGATTCTTGTGTGTTTTGTGTTGTCCCCACTTGCACTGAAAGCAGAGGCTGCTTTCCTGATGTTAGGTGTCGTGGTTTAACTCCGGGCTAGCAAAATACCACGAAGCT